GAGGGGGCGTTTTGAGAGTATCTTGAGTCCCACATCATAGAAGAGACATTGCATTTGTTTATAAGCAGTTGGACTACTATTTATCTTGCCAATTAATTTTATAATAAAAACTCAAATGTTCTTGCTATCATGATCTAAAATATCCATAATATCCCGATATTTTCATCGAAATTTCCGTGTTTTTGGACTACCGATATTTTTTTGGATTACCGATATTTCCGATATCATCGATATTTTAGACATTGCTAAGTCACTCATGTATGTAAAATATTGTACTAATTCATTATATATAAATGATTATGGTGTGTTTAAACTTCTTTCATTAATTACTACATATTTTCTACACTCACAATGTTTGCCAGCTCGCTATATAATCAACTTAAATCGGTTATATCTATCATGCAATGCATTTCCTTCCAATTTTTTGTGATAAACTAATAGATAATTGACTAAATAAACATTCTACAAAGTTTCAATAAAAATTTCTAAGTTTTTCTTACAATTTCCGTGGTTTTTATTCAATTTTTATCGATATCGATAATATCCCGATATTTCCATCGAAATTTCCGTGTTTTTGGACTACCGATATTTCCGATATCATCGATATTTTATACCTTGCTTGATATTTAGTACTACCATTAAGTGGTATTCCTCTTCATTTGGAAGTGAGAGGTCGTAGATTTGTTTCTTGCAAAATGCGAATTTGAATCACATTATTGCTAACTCATTGTGACTTGTGATGCTTAGCTCACTTCTCCACCCTCTTAGTGTATTTGTTTTTTTTTAATTAAAAAATACATAAAAAATCTCAAACCTTGTTTAATGCTGATATTGTTATCGGTCTGAACATGTGTGCAATATTCTCTCAAGTAGGAATGCACATAAGAAAACTACTAGAAGCAGAAGAAAGGCGGAACAATTCTCGTGGTGTGAAAGTTGTGAATACGGAATCAGATTTTTTTTCTTTTCTGGGTGAGTGAAAGAGTTGGGTGATGATGCATGCATGAAACTTCACTTTCGTGGAGGTCAGGTTAGGTTATTATTCTGGATCCCCTCCATTATTTTGTGGCAGCCACTCGACTGAGTATGCGACTATGAGTGCTTGGGGACCCATGCTTTTTAACCTGAGGCTGCTGTGCAAGATGCTTCACATATGGAGGAGGTTAGGGTAAAAATAAAAAACATATATTAAACGTTGAGACTTGAGAGTATGAATTCTGCATCGAGCGGAGAAGGGAAGAGAAGTCTTGCCTATTAATCTAAATAATTCCGAGCTTACAGTGGAAGGTCGACTTTTCTCACAAAGTCAAATAAGAACGAAACTAAAAATAGTAGCTAGCTAAAGATGAACGAGTTGATAGAGTTTCAACTTCTTTGTGAAGGCAATAGTTGAATCTAATGTGAACTACAGGCACTTCTTAGAGACATGGACTATTTTGTCTAAACCAAATGATTCACCACAATTTTCAAACTCAAATGGGCCAAACAGTCCCAATATTTTGTCTAAACCACTAGCTGGTAGCTCAATGGTAAAAGACGGATTATGAAGCTTCCTTAAAACTAAAATTTGGAGGTCTCAGGTTCGAAACCCGCTGTTGGTGTGGAAGCCAGATTTGTGGCTAAGGGGAGGCTAAAATGTCTATGTGAGTCTTTCTGGCCCCCGAAATGGGTGGATAACCGTGGTTTCCCACCAGTTGCCTCCCTTTAAAAAAAAAAAAAAAAAACAGTCCCAATATTTGACATTAAGAGTATGCTCTAGTAAATTTACATATTATACATGTATTTACATATAATATGTGTACTACATATTTTAATACATGTATTAAACACGTACGTGAGTACTTTTTACGTTTAATACATGTTATTTTCACATATTTTAATTAATACATATAAACTTAAAATAAAAATAACAATCCACATAAAATTCACGTATTTTTAACATATTTTAAATAAATAAAATTTAATTAATTAATTAATTAAAAAAAGTGGCTGAATCTTTCAAAGTAAATTTTTAGCAAAGTTATCCAATATTAACGTACGTATTATTCAAATATTGTACCAGTTATGTATTTTATCAATGCTAAGATATATATATATATATATATATATATTATTTTATTTTTTTGGATCAAAATATTATCTACATTAAGGAGAGTTGCACAGTGAATGTGATGGTGACATTTCTATTAGCGGACTGGTCTGATTTGGTCATCATGTGCTTTGCTTGGACTTCTTTGTCTTTTCGGCCTAATTGCAGCTTATTTTTATGTTTATCTCAACATCTTTAACATCTTCTTCTACCAATGAAGTTCATGTTTGACCAGAAAAATTATGGTTCAAATTCTCTTTTGACGAAAATCAAACATAAAACTTTTCACTTACAAGTAAAAAGGAATACTAAGTGATATCAATGCTAAGAGTTAGACTCCACGAATCAAACCAACACAATTTTGGTTGCCCAAGAAGAGCAACTGTTTTTGAAAGTCACTTTTTTGTAAATGTTCTGTCTGGTAATGTTTTATAAAATAAATTATTGGCATATTATATAAAACAAAAAGAATTTTGCAGGTTTATGATAGTACTTCTAGTATTTTAATTCGAGAATGATTGTTTAAGAAATAAAACATTAGAACGGAAAACTACCAAATGCATTTTAACACTAGCATTTGTATCTATAATGTGAAAAATTGTTGCCCTTGAAGTTTCAATTTTTTTGCTATTGGTTTGGGCTAATTTAGGACCTCAAATTGACTCCCTTTCACTGGCATTACAATTATCAACAACTCTCCAATCCTTCAATCAGTAAATTAAACAGTAATATAGGAGGCTTACAATCTCACTATTTGAATCATTCAATTAAAGGATCATACTTGACAACTTAGACATTGTTCATTCATCTAATTTTGACTAAAAGGACTACGATGTGTTCTTACAAAAATTGAATACAATATGTTATGAATGAAAATTGAAATGGCCGTCATGAAATTCAGATTGATTAAATGTCCCAATTTGATTGGCCTTTTACAAAGTTGACATTTTGAAGGGAGACTTTTTTCTTTTGACAAACGATAACGTTAGTAGGAAGGGGGATTGATGAGGATCGAACCCACATTAAGGTGCATATGCATGATTATTTTTCACTACTGCAGTAAACCATTATATGTGAAGGGGGACTTTTTGTATTGGGTAATTCTCATTCACTTCCCTCAAGTATTGTGAAATTCGCACATTACTACATTTAGTTCTTTTCGTCATAGTTTCATACCTAAATTTTGTTTTTTTGTTTTCTAACACTTTAATACTTTTGTTAGGCTTTTGATCAAATTCTTCTTTAAGTAATGACGTGACATAACGTTGGTCCACCATATTTGCCATTTAAATGAGAGATTCTCTTGTAAATTCAAGCTACAGTGTCGAGTGCTAATTCTTGGAAGACATGGTGGACCAAAAATTATGTCATGATATCACTAAACTAACAACTTGACAGAAAGCTTAACATAAGTGTTAAAGTGTCAGAAAATCAAAGTTTAAGTATGAAACCGAGACGAAAAAAACTAAAAGTAGTAAAGTGCGAAATTCATGATACTTAAAAGTAGTATCTTCCTATGTAATACTTTTTTTTGTCGAACCTTCCTATATAATACTTAAGGATAATAAAGTGAGAACATGGAAAATGAATCGAACTTGGGTCGACATACTTATAATTCTTTAAGATACGTAAGTACACATAATATAATACGCAATATCAAGTGGTTTCAATTAATACGAGTCCATTGCGGCGGGTACATGCTTTGAAAACTCGTCCAGAAGACGAGGAATTTTCTGTATTTTTTTATTCTGTATTTTGAAATTAAAAATAACGTGTCAAATTGTCAGAGGTTGAGAGACCGAGCCCCAAACAGACTGAGTCCTGACGGCTGCCCTAGGGTTACCATTTCGTTTGACGCATTGTCATGCTTGGAAGTCAAGCCGGCTTAAATACCCAATAAAATTCCTTTAAGAGAAGAAAGTTAGGGCTTAACTAACTAAATGCCCCAACAACTCTTTGGAAAGTATCAATCAATTTACCCCCCAATTTTGCAATACTATCACTCTACCAAGACTTTCTTTCTCTATCTCACATCTCTCCATTGTCAACATTTTTGTCACTCTAACTACATTTTCTAGCTACTTAGTACTACGATATGGTGATATTATTTTTTTCTTAAAAGTGAGAGGTCTTAGGTTCAAATCTCGTGGATGGTGAATCCGATACTAAATTAGGCTGCCCATTATGTGGCTTAACTGAACTCCCCCTCCCTTAGTGTAAAAATATTGATGTACTTAAGAAGAAAAAAAACATTTTCTATATTACATTTACATTACCTCTTTAATTGGCGGACCTTCGTCTTTATTAGAGAGGTAATGCAAATGTAGTATTCGTGATATTGAAATAATATAGCAAAGAGTCTTGTTCTCCTTGACTCTAGGCTCCAAATAAATTATGATCACCCACTGTTCGATCTTAATTCAAGTGGAGGACAAAGTACAACAAAAAGTTAAAATGGCATACTATTGAATTAAAATTGAACAATAAATAAGAACAATTTATATATAGATTAAATGAAGGGTACCAATATACCAAATATTAATAACATATTAACGAAAAATCGAGTATCCCACCCATACTACAAAATTAACGAGTCAATAGACGAAGTTGAGGGAACGGGATAGCGTGTAAGGAAAAGTGGGAGCAACTAAGCTGTAAAATTGCTCTAGACAGTTGTAAACTCGGCGGGTAAGTCCAGTCATTGAGGAGGGGGGTATTAAGATAATAAGCGGAAAATTAGAGGTCCCAGTAAGCAATCAATCAATCTATAACCGCGTCGTATGACTCCCACAAATGTTTACAAGGCGCGGCCCGCGGCGCATCTCGCATCCTCGTTCCCCCCTCCTTCCCACTTTCTTTCCTTGTAGTTGTTACTTGTTGCTACTCTCCAATTCCCACTATATAAGTACAGCCTCTACTCCCTCACCCTCCAACTCAACCATTCGGACACATTTCTACTTACATACAGCATATGTCTCAGAGGCCCAACGTCCCTCACTGCTCCTCCATTGCCTTTGCCCGCCACTCCCACCTCTTGATCACCAGTGACATGAACCCTAATTGGTCCTCCTGAAAGCCCTTCGATTTTTTCCCCCAATTCAGTTTTGATCCAAATTTTCAATTCTTTCATTCTTTTTCTAACAGACGATCCCAAAAAAAGGGAAAAAAACCCCCAAGATTCGACCTTTGATTTACTTGAGCAAATGGGTATCAAAGGATTTGTCGAGGGAGGCGTCGCTTCCATTGTCGCCGGCTGCTCCACCCACCCGCTGGATCTTATCAAGGTCCGTATGCAGCTCCAGGGCGAGAACAACCCCGCCCGGGCTGCCGCCCCCCAGCACATCCACAATCTCCGCCCTGCTTTTGCTTTTCATTCCCATTCTGCCACCCTGGTTGCCCCGCCTCCGCCGGCCGCCGCCGCACGCGCCGGTCCAATCTCGGTCGGAGTCAAAATTGTTCAGACCGAAGGTGTTAAGGCGTTGTTCTCTGGAGTCTCCGCCACCGTCCTCCGCCAGACTCTCTACTCCACCACCCGAATGGGCCTCTACGAAATTTTGAAAGTCAGATGGGCAGACTCGAACTCCGGAAACCTACCCCTGCCCCGAAAAATTCTCGCTGGACTCGTCGCCGGTGGAGTTGGTGCCGCCGTCGGAAACCCCGCCGACGTGGCCATGGTCCGGATGCAGGCTGGCGGCCGTGACTACAAGAACGTGATCGACGCGATTACGAAGATGGCGAGGAGCGAAGGGGTTCTTAGCCTGTGGCGCGGGTCCAGCCTTACGGTAAACCGCGCGATGATCGTTACGGCGTCGCAGCTGGCGTCTTACGACCAGTTCAAGGAGGCGATTCTCGATAGGCACTTGATGAAGGACGGCCTCGGGACTCACGTGACCGCGAGTTTCGCGGCGGGGTTTGTGGCCTCCGTGGCCTCGAACCCGATCGACGTGATTAAGACGAGGGTTATGAACATGAAGGTGGAAGCCGGGCGGGACCCGCCGTACACTGGGGCCCTGGACTGTGCCCTAAAGACTGTGAGAGCGGAGGGGCCCATGGCCCTTTACAAGGGCTTCATCCCTACGATTTCGAGGCAGGGGCCATTCACTGTGGTGCTGTTTGTGACGCTTGAGCAGATCAGGAAGGTGCTTAAGGACTATTGAGAGTTGGGATCCGACCAATGACGATGATGAAAAATAATCACCATGATTATTATTTTTTTTTTTCTTTTTTCAACTGCGAGAATTATTATTGATTAATGAAATTTTACGTTTGGAATCTGGCTAGTGATTCATTTCCCCTTTTGGTTATTGATTTATAATTATTTTTTTTCGCCATGCAAACAAATCCAATATGCGATTAGCAAGAAGGGTTTTGAGTTAACGGAAGATTTAGTATGTGAGTATTAGCTCTGAACTAATATTTGTGGGTATTGGTCTTTTGAATACGATTAAAATTTTCAATTACATCCAAAATAAAAGGTTTAGGAGGGGGTGTATAGTAAGGGAATTTGAAGATTTTGAATAGCATTATATATCTATTTATTTTGATGGAGTTTAATTGATTTGTAGATATTTCATCTAAATTTTGATTCAAATCTATGTACTTGTGAATGCTTAAAATACGTTACCAAATCTCTCAAATTCCTCAACTTTTTAAAATTCTTTAAAACCAATTCCTAATTGAATATACCTACAAAATTCTTTAAAATTCTATTTCAATACATTTCCATTTATAAGGATTTTAATAAAATATCTTAAAATCCTCAATAAATAGACTTTGAATTTCAAAGAATTATTTAAAATTCTGATTGAATATTCCTAGATTTATTAACAGAATTAAAATCGCTCAAAATTCCAATTGATACCCCTTCCTTAGTGTGGACAAAAGATGAACGAAAAAATCTATTATAAATTTATACATTGAGTCAAAGTCCAAGAGCCAATGCTCTAATTTTCTTGGATATTTACCTCTGTTCAAATTGTATGAAACCTCAAAACAGAACATTGCGCTTCAACTAAACTTTAAAATAATCAAGCGATAAATGCATTGAAACTAAAGAAAAATGAGTAAAAATGAGATTTTCTTAAGAGTCTTTTTCTATTTAAAGCAAGTTGTGATTTACGCATGTGGTCCAATATCCTAATAGATAGGATGTTAGGATCCTATCTAGTATTCTGGGTTCGAAACTCCCTCCTCCTAAATTATAGTAAATTGTAATAGTTTCAAACTCTATTCCCTCCCCCCTAATACGAGTCATGACGGTATTTCAGCAATGTGTGGTTGCATGATGACTTTTTTGGAATATGAATAACGAACTTTCTTTGTAAAATCATTTGATATCAAGTTCAACACTGAGACCCAGAAACTTCAACTTGTGTTCAAAATTTATGAGCATATATGCTTAAGCAACTGGAACAAAAATTACACATTCATTCATCCATACAGATACAACGCACGCAAATAACTGAGCAATTTGTGCTGTATGAGTGTGCCTGCCAGCATAAATGAACAGTTTGGGGTTCCAAATAAATCAGTTTTACATCAAGGAAATGCTTCATCTGTACACACGTCGCTCTCGCCCTACACGGAACATATAAACTTTTGTTATCATCTGCTGTCCGTCCTCGGAGAAGTTTTCAGTTTACTACCCTCTACAACTCGACCCTTCTCCACGGCTACAGATAGATGGCTTTCCGATTTTCCTCTGTCCAGGCTATGCTGCTGCTGCTGGCTTTCTGATCTCTTTCCTCCTCTCTCCGAATGACTCTCCGCCTTCCTAAGTTTCTCTGGCTTTTCCGAGGTTTCATAACTCTTGTCGTATTGGAGCGACTGACTTTTATCCAAACTTTGACCAGGACCGCGGCCTTGAATCTCATTTGCTATTTGGCTCCGCCGCTCCTTCAACAAATTCAGTCGTGATGTCAACTTTGTTATTGCTGAAGTTGTGGAATTACCTCCCTGTCATGCCACAGGAAAATAGGTATGTAACTATTTCTACCCTTCTATCTAATCACACTAATAAATCAGCTCAGCAAGCAAGCATTAGTAAAAACACAAAGCAACAAGTAGAAACATAGACGTTTTCTAGTCTTTTCAATCTGCGTTGTAATCCTCCCCCCAATTAATCCAAGTATGCAATCCATAATAGTAATCGACATCATCAAAACGAAAGACAGAATGCATATGTGCAATGTGGAAAGCGAATCTTCATTTTAATGGTAATCTAATGGTTAAAATTCTATTGAACCAGAACTAATATGACCGATCTTACCTCACCCCCACCGCCTTTCTTGGAGTTGGTTGAAGCTGTAGGCTTGGCTACCACTGTCTCTACTGCAGAAGAATCAGCTGGCGGCCCAACAGACCGAGAGTTGCTTTTGTTTGCTGCATCTGTTTTCTTTCCATTCACATTTTCCGTTCCATCTTGATGAGTATCCTGTTGAACATGCCCAGATATTAGTTCGAACATAGTTATTACTTTAACGAATCCACTTTAGCACAAACTGCTCGCTAAGTTCATCCTACAAGTTTTATAAAGGCTTAATTTCCTTTTCTATTCTACTTTGAACTCATTTAAAGTGCAGAGAGGAAATTCGGACTCGGGTGCATAGGTGGGAACACATCTGCTCTAGTCAATGTGATTACGCCCACATCTGCTTCTAAAGGCTCAATTTAGCTAAAACATAATTGGACCGGTTGCAAGACCAAAATAATACAAAAATTAAGTTAACCGCGGCATTTATTCATGTCGATATCTCAAATGTCAAAATAAATGTACCTTGCTTCTTGACGATTCGAAATGGGAAGGGACTATGTTTTCACTGTCCTTCTGTCTATCTGTTGTGTGCCTAAAAATGACAGAAAAGGGGAAAAAGAAAGTGCCAATGAGTCATCACTGGAAAACTATGTCTGCATTCATGTAACTTGCATTCGAAGACTTGTACACAGATCACGAACTCTCTTTGACAAATATAGAAGAATGATCTAGCAAGAAAGCATCACGAAATAACAAAAGATCTCACTGTTTTGCTTGATGATCGCCACTATTTCGGGATGGAATGGAAGCATCAGACATAAAGCCACGGTTTCTTTCACGTTGTTGATTAAGCTGCATGCCTAGATCATCAACCTTCATCTTCAAGTTGGAAACATTCTCTTCTGCCTGAGCTATTTCAATAAGATCTGCCCTTGTCTATATAGCACGTATGCAAGTTAATATTTTGGTGCTTGATAAAAGCTCTTATGCCATAACAATTTAAGGGCACAATACTAACTTTTTCATCAACTGTGGCTAAATTGGGCACATGTCCCCCCGACATTTTTAGTCCTGCTTCGAGAGCTGCTGTTAAATCCTTCTCCTTCTGTAACTGTTCCTGTAGTCTCGCCACCTACAAGGACGTTTAATGCCCAATATCAGTATTAACTTCACTCATCTTGGTTAATCACTTAATAACCATTAATAATAATCGAACTAGCATTATATTCTATGGATGCAGAAGCGTGTTTAGATAAATAAGAAAAATTGTTCTCTCAGTATGGAATTTACATCTTGCTTGAGAGCTAGGCGACGCTCACGCAAGGCCGTCTTCTCTCTCTCCAGACTTGCTTGTAGAGCAGCATTCCCTTCAACCTGTAAAGGAAACTGACAACTAACTTAACAATTCCAAACAACTTGATACAGTGTAATTGGATGGTGAGATACCTCTTCTGCAATTCTGTTTTCTAACTCAGATTTAGTCCTCTCAAGATTCTGGATTTCAGCCCTTTATAGAGGAGGAAAAATTAGATGTTAGAACAAAACCAATGACGCGAAGAGAAGCTTCAAAAATTACAAGTTCACTGCATCCTAAATGTTAACAGTAATGGATCATCTAGGGAAAGTAAAACACTGATACACTTTGGAAAAAATGTACTACTGATGCATGCTCATGTGCACGCGTGAGCCTGTATGTATGAAGTGTGCAATGCAGGACATCCACTGACACTGAAAAAGATTATAGGCAAATCTCTATGAGGGAAAGAAACTCTTCAGAGATGGAATTTGCATCACTTACTCTTCCTCAAGACTGTAGTCAATGGATTCCATGGAAAGGTTCTTCCTTGCCTGAACCAGAAATCCCCCCACCCGCCAAATGAAAAAAGAAACTCAATTAACAAAAACTCTCTGAATTGGAGACGGTTTATGGGAAAATTGCAAGTCCCTTCCCGGATAACATAATCTAGGAAGGTATAGATAATGATGAAAGGCCTAATAAGCAAAAGACTGTATCACCAGTCCAGTAAACATAGACTTACAGCCATACGTCCCCAACCAGTACGATTCCTAACATGCCCAGATCCATTGGATATAGATGAAGATTTTTGTATAAATGGGGATGGAAGAACATGATTGGGTGGCTGTTGCCGTGAACTTATTTCTCTAGAAACCTCTTCTACTACAGCAGACTCGCTAGCCTGCTCTGGCGCATTAGTTTTACTTGAACTCAGTTTATTCTCACTGCTCTCTAAAGCAGGTTGAGGCTGCAATATTTTAGTTGAGCTTGATGACAACTTCTCATGAGCTTTACCATCGTTGCCTCCATGAGGAGACTTCACTCCTGGTCTTAAACCGTCACCACCATCCTGCAAAGAGTGAATATGTTATACATGAATCTCCAAGTTTTTCTGGCAACGGACTAGCAACAAACAGTAAGACAAGAACAAAAAGCAAAATGCTAATGCTAATGCTAATGTCTGGCACTAATAATTTAACCGACTTGAAAGCACCAAATCTCGACCACAAGGTCAGGCACTAATATATTGAAGGACTAAGTATGTAACAAGCCTTATTATCATGCAGATCATTGTCTTCAGATTCACCACTCTCACTAAATGTTCCATCTCCATCAGAAACAATTTCAACATCTTCATCCTCTGTTCCTGCATCAGTTTCATCATCTTCATAGTAATCATCATCATCTGTTGCCCCCTCAGTCTCACTTTCACTTTCTTCTGTGTCACTGTATAGTTCCGGGGACAGGGGACCACCTTCCTGCAAATACATGGAGAAAGAACCAACTCAACAGAAATCCGGAGTCCAAACTATTGACGTGAAATAATTCTAGAGTGAGCTAGTCGATAAACTTTTATGAAAAACAACACTGAACAGAATATACTCGCAGCTCAAAACCAGCACAAAGTAGAAAGTGTTATCGTTAAAGTAATGGTAAAAGGTAAAAGGATTGTTGGAGTGTACCCCAAATATGTGATTATACTCCTCCAACAAAGTTATAACAATCGCTTG